TTAAAAAAAACACACACACACATTTCGATTTCAACAACTGGTAATATAACGAAAAATCGACTTTAGAGCACCACAATACGAACTTTCCCTTAGAAATACAATACCATAACGAAATTATATTCGCTAAAAACGCCCACCGCAAACTAATTTAATATATAATTTGTAAATATATTTTTATAATATTATGTTTTAAGCTACATACGCATTTTAAAATATTTTTTAGGATAAATAAGAATAAATTAAAATCCAAATTATCAAAATACATCGATATAAACGATTAATTTATTTATATTTATAATACATTTGTAATGTTCGATCCATTATATCTATTTCCTTATATAAAATATTATGAATAATTATTGCATTATATTTCTTATTAATATAGATTATTAATATAAATATATATTTAATTAAATGATATATTTATAGATCATATAAATCATAAAAATTAATTTAATTCTATAATATATGTTGAAAAAGTATATTTATCGATTATTTAATATATGAATTTGAGAGAAAAGAGATACGAAAGGTAGGATAGCGGGAAGAGAAAAGAATACGAGAGGCAAGAACAAAAATGCAATATTCGACATAGAAATTTATTCCCTCGGAGGCGACCTTTCGTATATGTATATTCATATGCACTCTAAAAATTCAAATATATGTTTTCGATATATTCAAAAAAAATCTTAAGAAAACCCATTTGCCCCATAGCTCAAATCATCGGTGAATATTAAATCGGAATATCATAAGATTTAAATTATCCAAAAACAATAAGAGGCTCACGAAAACGCTCCCCAAAAGAGAAGTAATGCACTTCACAACACAAATTTTAAATATATATTTCCGCATGGGGCACCGCGTTTCACCAAACAGGCCTGCCACCAAGCTTGATAACACGTTTCCAATGCCCAATCTGCAATGGAAGAAACCTCCTATAATCATAGGGCGTGCAAAACAATGATAGGCAGCAAATGAGTAGGCCTTGTAGCCCAGACCGCAACAGCGACAATGACAAGCAGGCAAGCAGCAAGCAGCAGCAACCAAGCAGCAAACAGCAGCACCGGCAGCAATCAGCCAGCAGTAGCAGCAACCAACCACCAGCAGCAGCAGTAGCCAACCAGCAGCAGCAAAGTGACAGCAACAGAAAACCAGCAGCAGACCGGCAGCACCAGCGAAGGCAGCCCAATAAAGCTTTCTCCCAAGGGCACACCTCATCTGGCACAAATTCATGCCACTCAATAGTGTGTCCGCTTCATTGCGGAAGTCAGGTTTCTACGAAGACCCTACTAGCGAGGGTTGGCCCTATAAATCCTTGGAGGGTTGGCTATATGAGACCTAATCCCGAAATAAAGGCGAACCTATAGGCAGCCTATAAAAACAACCTATGGGTTGCCCGCCAATTTCCTTGCGGTAGGTCTTGTGCAATAAAACAAACCCATTAAATAAAATCATGCATGTAGAAAATATCTTCCAAAACACTCTATCCTATAAAAAAAACGTTCTAGTATATCGACTTCCTGGTTTGCTCATCACCTTCTATTTGCTATTTAAAAAAATACACACACATTTCGATTTCAACAACTCGTAATATCACGAAAAATCGATTTTAGAGCACCACAATACGAATTTTCCCTTAGAAATACAATACCATAACGAAATTATATTCGCTAAAAACGCCCACCGCAAACTAATTTAATATATAATTTTTAAATACATTTTTATATTTTAAATTACATACGCATTTTAAAGGTTTTTTAGGATAAATAAAAAGAAATTAAATTCCAAATTATTAAAAATATATCGATATAAATAATTAATTTATTCATATTTATAGTATATTTATAATATTCGATCGATTATATTTATTTCCTTATATAAAATACTATAAATAATAAAAAATAATATTTTCTTATATATTTATAAATCATATAAATTAATTCAATTCTATAATATTCTCAAAAAAATTACACTTGCCCCATAATTCAAATCATCGATAACCAATTAAATCGGAATATCATAAAAATTAAATTATCCAAAAATCATAAAAAATTCACGAAAACGCTCCCCAAAAGAGAAATAATACGCTTTACAACACAAATTTTAAATATAGATTCCCTCGAGAAATACCTTTCGCAATTAAAATTTCATATAAATCCTATCTCAATGCTCCAAAGAATTTCAACGATCCTAAAATCATAAAATATTCATAAAAACGTTTAGAAGAAAGAAAAAAAATAAAACATAATATATTAAAAAATAAAGTCCAAAGAAACGAAAAAAATATATTGCAAAAATCAATTCGAAAAACCGAATTTAACGATTAATTATTACACCCAAACATTCCAACACAAACTCAAAATATCCCTAACGCACTACCTTTCGAAATAAATCTAAAATATATATAACTCAAATTCTATTTAATTCATAATATTATTTTCATAATTATTGTGAATCTACAATTTTCTTATAACTAAAAATTACAAGTCATAAAACATAATCCATCAATTATTAATAATAGTTATTCGATAAATAGTATTATGAAAAAATATATCAAAACATATTTCAGATGTTATTCCCGAGAGCGTCTACGAAAGATTCTTCGTAAAAAAACATCTGCAGAAGAATTTCGTTTCATCTATATCTTCACATCTTTACATCTTCACCTCTGTGCATCCACATTCTCACCTATATCTCTGATCTCTGCTCATCTTCACATCTACATTCACAAGTGCACATCTACATCTCTGCTCATCTTCACATCCTCACATCTATATCTCGCATCTTTACCTCTCTCATCTACATCTCACATCTTCACCTCTCGCTCTTCTAAGGCCGGGGGCCGTACCGCCGGAGCACCACGAAACGCAACCCTCTGCGGAGATCGCGCGTGTCGAGCGAACGAAATGCAGGCGAGAGTGCGATTTGTCTCTGTCCGTCGCAATCCTCTGCGGAGATCGTGCGTGTCGAGCGCGCGAAATGCAGGCGAGAGTGCGATTTGGTTTTGTCGCGGGCAACCCTCTGCGGAGATCGTGCGTATCGAGTGCACGAAATGCAGGCGAGAATACGATTTGGTTTTGTCGCGGGCAACCCTCTGCGGAGATCGTGCGTGTCGAGAGCGCGAAATGCAGGCGAGACTGCGATTTGTCCCGGTCGCGGGCAACCCTCTGCGGGGATCGTGCATGTCGAGTGCGCGAAATGCAGGCGAGAGTGGGATTTGTGTCTGTCCGGCGCAACCCTCTGCGGAGATCGTGCGTGTCGAGTGCGCGAAACGCAGGCGAGAGTGCGATTTGTATCTGTCCGGCGCAACCCTCTGCGGAGATCGCGCGTGTCGAGTGCGCGAAATGAAGGCGAGAGTGCGATTTGACCCGGTCTGGGACAAGCCTGTGCGGAGATCGTGCGTGTTGAGTGCGCGAAATGCAGGCGAGAGTACGATTGGACCCGGTCCGGGACAACCCTCTGCGGAGATCGTGCGTGTCGAAGGCGCGAAACGCAGGCGAGAGTGCGATTTGCGCGTGTCCGGCGCAACCCTCTGCGGGACTGTGGACTTTGTAGTACAACAACTGTAGTACGCGGAGCAATCTGTCGAGCTGGAAGCTGAGAACTGGCGACATTGTAGTACAATTGTAGTACACGGAGCTGGAAGCTAAGAACTGGCGACTTTGTATAGTGCAACTTGAGTACGCGGAGCATCTGGCGAGCTGGAAGATGAGAACTGGCGACTTTCTAGAACTTTAGTACACGGAGTATCTGGGGAGCTGGAAGATGAGAACTGGCGACTTTGTA